AACTGGTTGTGATGAGGCTGTTGGGATGCTTGATGGTTAATTGGATAAAGACAAGGAGGTTTGGGAGAGAGAAATCCAAATTTCATCTGCTGCCTTGTGGATGATATGGGTTTCTCTCTCCTTTCTTTTTCATTCGGAAGACACCTTCTCCGGCGACTTACCCGGCAATCACCTGTAACCAGCTCGGGAAGGCTCTTGTGGTCACTCACAATGACCAGAATTTATTACGCCCCAAGCCTCTTTTCTGCCTCTCTCCGTCTATTCTTGTGCCTCTATCCGCAACCCCCTATCTTTTTCCTCCCTCTTTCTCCCTCTTCCTCCCTCTTAGATGTGCATACGGGGCAGGGCTGCGGAATAGGAAGACTACGAGAGCACGCACCAACGACGTGTGGGGCCGCTGTACGAACCCGTATAACAAGGCGTACTCGCCCGGCGGCTCGACAGGCGGCGAGTCGGCGCTCCCACTCTCTTCAGAACCGCATATGCTTGAAGAATGTTTTCTTCCTTTTGTATAGTAATAATAACCAAATTACTTCGCGGTGGTCGTGCTATAATTTTAGCCCATGTTAATGTGCCAGTCTCAGGATGTTTCATATATATGTATATTTCACCGTCCTGGTTTTTTTTGGTATATTCCTTAGGCGGGAGGATCGGCGGCGGCGGCGAAGAAGAATGCGGGTGGGTTTGGAAGCGTTGGGCCTATTAAGGCTAGTGACGGTATGTTTTATTTTCTTTCCCAACCATTTTGCTCAGAATACGAGATGCTAATGTACAAAATACAGCCGACGAAGAACAATACGCCCGCAATAAGTTCGCCAACCAAAAGGCCATTTCCTCTGACGAGTTCTTCAACAAGGGCAACTATGATCCCTCCGTCAAGGCCGAGACCAAGGCTCGCCTGCAGGGTTTTGAGGGTGCTCAGGCTATTTCGTCCAACGCCTACTTTGGCCGTCCCGAGGAGGACGCGGCCGTCGAGGACTACGGCGATCTCGAGTCTGCTGCCAAGGACTTCATTCGTAAGTTCGGCATCACTGCTAGTGATGATCTGGAGAACCTTACGCAGATGGTGGGCGAGGGCGCGGGGAGGTTGCAGGGTGCTATTAGGGCTTATCTTGGGAGCTGAGCGGTTGATGTGGTAGTATGACGGTAGGAGAGGGAGATGGATGGTTACGAGAGCAAGCGAGACGTGTAAAGGGGTAACGCTTTTTACGGAACGGTGGATATTAGTGGCAAGGTAAAAACTCAGTATATTTGGTAGTGTAATGTGAATGAATTAGAGTTCTTCCAGTTTGGATGGATGGTTGGCTGGATGGATAGGAAGTGCTCTGATATGGCATATGCGAGGGCAACGAGGTGATCAAGACGGGTTGGGCGTCTCAGCTTGTGGTATTTGACTTCATGGCAAGTGCCTCCGAGAGACTTTTGGAAACAGTAAGTGCATTCGGTTCACTCGCAAGGTCTTGGGTTACTTTCCTCTTCGGTAAGGCGACTTTTCGGGGGGTGTAAGATGGTAAAGATGTCCGTAGAGGTTGTAGTGTTTCTAAGGGACTTACTCGCGCACTATCACCACCACTATAAGGCCCACATCCAGCCGAAACCTTCAACAACAACAGCTGGTCCGATGGTGTAGTTGGTTATCACGTCAGTCTAACACACTGAAGGTCCCCAGATCGAGCCTGGGTCGGATCATGAAGCAATTCTTTTTTGGATTTCCCTCATCTTTGGTCATGTTCTGTGCGCATGTTTCTCATGTTCTCTTTTCTTTTTTGGGTCATGCAGACACTCGCCGTTTTTGCACTTCTCGGGTATCCCAGCCATGAGTTTTTGTCCAAACTTTTGGAACTGAAAGCCTACCAATAAAGATGACTTTGAATGAGCGATCCCATTCCGCATGACCGAATGTCGTTTCCCTCGAGATGTTGGTGATGTCCATCGGGAAGGCGCGTTGGGGGATGAGGGAGGAGGGGAGGAGAGGAGGAGAAAGACTGGATGAGGGGGAGCCACTCTGCAGTCTTTGTGGCTTGCATCCGATCTTTCCTTCGCGTTCTATTCTGCGACATCAATCACCATAGACACATTCAATCCCAATTGGAACACCCTGTCCAAAGGGATGGATATCTCTGTTGTTCGATGACCGAACCTAAGCATTTGGCGAAATCGCAGTTGCGCTGGCAACATGCGATGACGACGACAGGAACAACAGACAACGACAACGAGCTCAGTTATAACTATCGCATCGCCGTTCTAGAGATTCATCCACCGAAGCACGCGCTCGAACTCTTCCGATGAACCCATCGCTCGAGACTAGAGGTACGCCACACCGCACGGTAGAAACTTCGCAAGCCTTCCGTACCCCACCATGTGCCGCGATGTTTGTTGGCGATTATGAAGCATCAGGAACCGGCACCGTTCTCTTCCCCCAGTGGCGGAAACAAGCTCTAGCAGCGCGAAATGGGCAGTTTGTGCAAACCATTGACTGACCATATTGCTTGATAAACCTTACCACGACCCCTCTTGCGTCCTCGAGAGCGTTCACTCCTCCGGCCCCCTCAGCTACCCGACACCCCTCGAAGCGAGACCACTTCACGCCAATGTCTGGAAGAGATGTCTTCGGATTCTGAGTCTTCTTCGCCCACAGGACCAAGACAATGGTCAAGCGAGAACTAACAACCACTCGAATACGCGGATTCCATCCGTTTGTTGCGTTTAAATCACATTCGGATCAATTATTCACGCTCGAACCGGAGATGGTATCGATCGGACCAGCATCACCGTGATTTCAACAAGCCGATTGAACGCACTACAGTTCATATTCAACAAGGATAAACCGAAATACCAGGCGTTGTCCTACGAATGGGGGGCCGCCGGACGACACAAATGATCCGTCCATCTTGATCAATGGCTGCTATACCTTGCGTATCAGGAAAAGTCTGTACGAAGTTCTGAAGGAAACCCAAGTGACGTTGGAACTGCGCTCGAAGCCCCTCTGGGTTAACGCTATCTGCATCAACCAACACAACCCCCATGGCGAAAAAGCCGGAACAGCTGCGGATGATGGGCAGAATATTCAACCAGGCTGAGCTGGTTATAGCTTGGCTAGGGGTATCAGACTATAGCAATGCGGCTCTCCATGTCCTCGGATTGTACGGCCAGAAGAGGCCATCAGCGAGCACCCTGGGCAGAGACCACTTCTCTGGTCAAAGTTATGAGCCGTCACCAATATCCTTTGAGTGTCGTGAAAGATAGTACCGTCAAACTTTGCACGCGGTCGTACTGGCGCAGGGTATGGATCATGCAAGAAATTCAGCTGGATCAGAAGTTTGGGCTGCTATGCGGATCCGCCTGACTCGATGGCCTTAGACTCCATAAAGCTTTCGACATGATGAGCAGCATTACGCTGCTGGGCCACGATGAACTCCCTTTATGGAATTAAGAATACCCACAACACCTTACAGAACTTTTCCACTTCAGCCTGCAGAAGAACATCCCGTTCAAATACCTTAAAGCCCAGAACAACAGGCGGGCTCGCTTAGGCCAGCTGGTCGAAATCTGCCTGAAAGGTTCCTTCCGATCCACAGAGCCCCGAAACTATATCTTTGCCCTCCTCCTATGGTTCATAAAGGGGGGGATCCTATTTTATCTTTCTACGGATGTCCTCCTAGTGGCTGAGCAGCTATTGCTGGGCGAAACAATGAAGTGGGCTGTGCAAGCGAACAATTGGCTCCCTGACTTTCCTCGCCCGTGCAACTAGCAACCCACGAAGTTGCTGGAAGTTTTATCCCGATTTCATCGTCATTCTTTCTCTACGCACAATCCTTACACCAAACTACTTCGAGGGGTTCTTATTGGAAACAAAGTCAACGTCGTCAAATCTTGCCTTACGGTCAAACATGTTCCCTGAGCCTGATTTTCCGGTCTCCCTTACGGCGTTGAAGCAGGAGCTTCTTTCCAACACACACTCCCTGCGAATCATTGTGGAAGGAATAGAACTCAACATTTCCCTTCCTGACGAGACCAGCTCCAATTATCAGCTCGCGGGTCGAAACTCTGCTCCTCAGAAGCGGCGGCTGTTATTTCATATCCTTCTTGAAGGAAGTAGATTCGACGTCAACCTACCTGACTGCTTTGTCGAAGAGCTAGCTTACATGAATGGCCCGAATTATCGTATACCTTCAAAATGGATTAGCACATTGTCAGGGGTGTCTATTCCCTTCGTTCTTCTTCAAGGGAGAAAACTCGACGTTACGCACACTGTAGCGACTCTTCCTGAACATAAGCAGTTCCAGAACCTGTGTCAGAGTTTTCCTTTGGAGCGGCAGTATATTTTCCAAATCAATCTCCCAGACAAGACCCTTGATGTCAGTATGGCGCCGTCATCAAGTACCTTTCTGGTTATCAGCACATCACATATGACACTTCTGTTATATTACATCGTCTTCTGGGAAAGACGACGGGCCACGCGGCTACTCTAGGGCATCAAAACTAACTACTCTCCAAGGGACCTCTCTATGTCGTTAAGCGTCTCCCAGAACTGTCATAATCCTCAGCATCCCCTTCAACTGTGAAAACCGATCCACATCCTGTAGCCCATACCATCTTACCGCCTCTGCCTCTGATAAGCTTGCGGCGGACATATCTCAACCCCCACTCCTCCTTTCTCGGATATACGCCCAAGTACTTCCTTTCCTCCTCCGGTACATGATCCCAATCGGTATACATTTGGTACAGGCTTCGCCACTCAAAACCCTCTGGTACCATTCTCTTCGCCTCGTCCATTGCCGCCACGCGCAAGAAGATGCCTTGTACGCCACCGTGTCGGTCGAAGTCATTGGGCTGTCTGGGGTCGGCGCGGGGTTCGTGCTGTGCAGCCCAATCCTCATACTCCTCATCCGTCATGACTGGGATATAAGTCCCGTCGCTGAACTCATCGAATCCCGTCATCTCTGTCTTGACCTCCCGATACAAGTTCAGCGCTTGAGGCGGCCTATCCTCAACATCGAGCATGTGCGTAAGCCACGCCAAATCATTTTCCTCCTTACCATCATTTTCAGCCATATTCATCAACTCATGAAGCCACTCTGCGAAATACGAATAGTCCGGGTCGCGAGGGCGCTCGTTGATGTTTCTTGTCCCCCATTTTTCCTTGGCCCTCTTTTCAATATCCTCCACAAGTTTCTTTCCCACGCCCTCAAAAATTCCCGACGCCTCTTCTCTGCGTTGCCGGGTTTTAGCTTCCCAGTACTGGCTCATGTCCAGGCCCGCGCCCAGCTTCTCATACCCTTCGTAATCGCCTATGGCGATCAAGGCCCTCGCGCACCGAAACTTGGTTCTTTCCGTCGGCCTCATCCGCGCCATGGCCAAATACGTACACTGATGCGCATGGTCCGGAAACCACATGAGAGTCGGCATGTCCTCCTCGGGCGTATCCTCCTTTAACCAAGAGAGATCGTTGTGCATGACGAAGCGGGCATGGATAAATGGCATCAGGTTGATGCCCAGCTGTTTGTGGACTGCCAGTTGCTCTGGGGATGCCCACCACTTGGCAAAGAAGACCGAGTGGTAGATGCCACGCACGACGCACTGCAATTCGCCAGGGATTACGACACCAGGCCGCCGGAGACGCGAGTACCGCTCAATATTACTGGACCAAGCGGCCATCAGGATGAGGAGGTTCTTGTCGGCTATGGAAGCGGCGTGAGATGGGAGATCTAGCGGGAGCGGGGCGTACAAGAGCCGGAGGGTATCTTCGGAAACAGGAATCTGGGAAGGGCGGAGAGCGTTCTTGTCAGGGGAAAGGTTGCGGTCCTCGGTTATGTCGAAGATTGGGGCCGGGATTGTGTGAGGGTTGAAGAAGTTGCCCGGAGGCATGGGGTACTTGGCAAGAGTTTGACGGGTACATGTGTTTCCCATGAGGAAAACTCCCGGCCTGGGATCTTCCGTCCGGATCTTGAGGGCGTAGTCGTCCATGATGGCGTAACGGGTTGGTTGGCGCATGATGGACTCGTAAATGACTTTGCTTCCGGGTGCAGAACTATCACGGGCTTCCTCTGCAATGGCAACCTCGGGCAAAAGATCGAGCTCGTCGTACAGAGCGGTGTAGCCGGCCATAGCACACACACGTCCAACTTGATACCGGATGGCTGGCCGCGTCTCTCCATACCGGGCGATAAGTTGCCGGAGTGTTTGCTCGCTGGGCAGGTCAGGGTGCCAAAAGCAATACGGGAATTCTTCCTCCTTCTCCATCTGCGGGATTTCGCCGCTCATGATGGCGCGCGCGTTGAGCGCCCGGGTGATGGAAGGGAGCTCTGGGGTGCCGTGCAACTCAATGGCAAAGCCGGGTGGTGTCGGATGCCGCGTAGCAGACACCACTGGGTGACTTTGGAGGCTAGACCGTCGGGAATGTTTTGGCCGTTGAATGCAGCTTCATTTTTGGCGAGGTCGTCGGCTGAGAAGTCCATCATCTCCATTAGGGAAGCGAGAGAACCTGCCACGAAGGTGTTACGGCCAGGTGGTGTAGGGTTGAAGGAGGACTCAAATCAATGTCAAGGGTGTCATGGAGGAAATGGAGGGACAAAAGTCGTGAAAGGGAGGGAGAGAGAACTGACCGGGCTTTATACTTCTAGGTGGGCACGGTCGGTCTAGATTACATGGACATGGACTGGAGGGTCGTACCCGCCGCCACTGCAGGGGGCAGACACACAGAAGAAAGAGAGAGGCACCAGGATTGCTTAAGGGTGGAGCAACGGTCTACCTGAAGGAGTAACGCGGGTACGTAGGCGACCCATCACAGTCCCTTTGTTATCACATGCCGGTGGTTGAAAGGTTGACAAATTATATTAGGTTATGAAAGGCCACCACACCACTTATCCAGATGGACACAGTTGATGGTAGAATTACATTACTTTCGCAGCCAGGCGGCGGCCAAGGAAGACTACACACCAGTCGATCTTCTTTCGCTGGGCCGATGTGTAAGGCTTTTTTTCTTTCTTTGGCACCGCCTGGCAACTCACAAAGTGGAAGGAGAGAGCGGAGGGCAATCCAGTACGTGCGGCAAGTCCTGTCCCCTTGATTTCATCCAAGGACTCGAGACCGACCCGATCTCCAACTTTGGGGTTGTCCCGAAGGCCTGGCTATCGCTTAAACACCGACACAAGCATAGGTGTTGGCCCACATTCCGGTGCAGTCTGACTTGACACTACAACATCATGAAAGTTAGCAACAAGGTACGTCCAAGGAAAACCAAGAAAGAAGGACTTACGCAGGATTCCACTTCTTGAAGTTGGCAGTAGTGACGCCATACTTGCTCGCAATCGTATCGCACGTCTCGCCGGCCTGGACAAAGTGAAACTTCTTGCATCCCGAAACCATGCCCGACTGGATCGGCGACGGGGTCGACACGGGAGAGGTACCCGTAGTAGGCGTATGTCCGACAATGCTCACGCAAGCATAGGTATCAGCCCACAAACCCGTGCATGTGCTTCCGACCTTGGAGTTCCACGTGGAGAACTGCGCAACCGTGATACCCTTAGCCGCTGCAATGGACACGCACGAGTCGCCAGACTTGACCAGGTAGAAGTCATCGCAGTTGTTCACCATGCCCGGCTGGATGTTGGTTGGGGTCGCGATACCGTTACCGGCCGTGGTGGTCGTGGCAGGCTTGGTTGTCGTGGTGAAGCTAGGGCTATGTCCCACGATGCTCACGCAGACGTAC